TTTGCCATGAGGTGATCCTCCTTCCCCTCAGTGGCTTGGGGCAGGCATTTTGCCTGACTGCACCTCTCCTTCTGGCTCTGTAAAACCAGGGTAATGCTGAGTCCTTCCACAAAATCCACACAGAGCCACCGCTCCAGTGTGCAGGTGTTTTTATTGTTATTAGCAATGTTTTGTCATGAAACAGGAAATCTCATGCAATGGATGCTGGGGGGAAGCAGAAAACCTGACCTCCTGGTCTGCTTCTTCACATTTTCCCTGGGCAGGGACTGCTGGAGAAAACTGCCATTTTCTCCCCTCTGTTTCTGTTTCCCCGTCAACCAGGACCAAGTTCAGCAACAAAAGCAGATGATAACAGCTTTTGAGCTGTTTGTTCAGCACTCAGAAGAGACATGGTTTTCTACAAAATGAAGGGGAAGGCATAATCCCTTCTCCTCCAGGCTTGTGCACTGATGGCTGATCCACCCACCAACTTCTCCAAAGGGCCAAAGGAGGAGAAACCTCTCTCTGCAGTCTTACATTAACGCATCATCAGAGAGAGCACCCTGAAGATTGCAAGTCAACAAGATCCTTAATACTGTGCAAGTAATGAGTGAAAAGGTCAAAACATGTCTACATTAACAAAGTGACCACACAAGAGCAGCAAGTTACGAGATCCTCCTGTTCCTCAAGAGAAACAAATATACACTGACCCAAGTGCTCAACCTCAGTAACAGCCTGCAAAATTTACACAGCATGCACAACCATAAACAAATGTAAGACAAGAAATATGGAAATGTCAGTTGCCATAGATTACATGATTTGTAAACCTTGGAAATCAGGTCTCCATTGCTCACTAAGCTCTGCCTGTGCCAATGCTCTTTCTGTGTTACCAGCGTCCCTGTATGTCAGACAAGCTGGTATTTGTCTCCAATGGCAAACATACAGACCTTTTGTCATTGTGGGGAGGGTGAAAGGGTGTTCTTTAACCTGAGTTAGGTAATTCACTAAAATCGGACAGAAAATGAGGGAATTTGTAGCTATATTATGTGGTATCATGACAATGCAGGCGAGGGAGTCCTCTGGTTTGCTGCCACTGCCATTGAATCTCCTAAGTGACCTCCACTGACTAGAGCAGAGCAGGAGCAGTCACTGCTCTGTAGGAACTGCTTCACCCTGCTGGGACTACTCACACATGTAAATCAAACATGCAAAGACCTGCCTGTGGGCAAGGCCTCGGTATGTGTTTGGAGTGGAGAAACAAGCGAAAGGGACATGCGCTGCACTTCATGCTGATTCTGAGAATGTATTGCTTGAAAATATGCATTCGTGGAGAACTGAGCACTTATACCAACGGCAAACACAAATTCTGTGCTCCACAGTCAGGCCTCCTATTGAGGGACTCAATATCAGGGACTCCAGATTTGGCCCACATGTAATATGTATGATATATTATATTCCATGCTTATTTGCTACACAGCTGCACAAATAGGCCACTTAGAAGAATATAGTTTAATCACTTGTAAACATAGTCTTTATGGAGTGATGATGAACAAACCATTCCTATTCGTTGCTTTTCAAAACAGCATTGCTGAAGTGTCCAGCACAGATGTCTCGTTTTCACTTCCAGATGTTTTCTACATTGGGTGGTAATATTCGGTAGTTTTATTTGACAAATTATTTTATATTAAGGCATGAAATACAAGAGGCTACAGAGAAATATACAAGCCATTTCATTAAAAAGGTTTTAAGATGTGATGGGCGTATAGTACAAGAGGAATTTTAAAAAAAATTCTAGTCATAGAAAGAAATGGTTTGCTATTCCAAGAACAGAATGTCATCATCTGATGATGAAACACAACCTAAAAAAAATTATTTTGAAAAGAATTTTGAAGAGGCTGAACTGATTTAATACTCTAAGAAACAGGGATACCTTTGCTCCTGAACCACAGTATTGATTTAAAAAAACCCTTTATCCACTGCTTTTATTTCTAATGATGATTAAGAGCACCAAAAAGAAATGTCTCCCTCACTCCTTCCTTATAAACCAGCAAACCTAACTTGAAATATACACTTCCATGTGCACAAAGTGGAAGTTAAAACTTGGGCCTACAGACCATTAAAACTAGCAGACAAAATTTCTTCTGGAGGCCGGAGGTGATATTTTTTAATCTTTATCCCCTGCAGAGGTAATTGCCGCTATTTTGCCTCAGGGAATTCTGGAGAAATGTTCCACATAGGGACTATCTCCCAAGTGAACACTGCTGCTGTGACATTGCAATGCTTCCACATCTCAATTTTTCTGCTGTCCTTCAGGAGTATGGCTCAGCTATTATTTTTATTCAAAGACAGGATTTCATTTTCAGCATAGTCAAAAGAATCATTTAAAACCCCATCTCAAAAGAGAAATTACGATGTTGACACTGACATAATTCTATCAAGATTCACACTTGCTTGCATTTTCCTCATAAGCACCAAATTCTAGAATCATGCCATTACAGATGAATTGGAGCTTATCCTCTTAAATATATATAAAATAAATGTGGGTTTGGTTTGGGTTTTTTTTGGGGGGATGGGGGCACAGAAAAAGCATCGAATGTGTGAATTTCAAAGGTTCAAACCAAATCCAAACCAGAAATATAGAATACTTACAGTATATTAAAATTTCACCATTTTAGGTGTGAGCCAAGCCTTTTAAATGCTGGGGTTAGGCAATACTGATCTCTAAATGAACTGCTTCTCCATTTCCAATTCTGACACGAAAGAATGTAAGTGCATCAGCAGCTTAATTGAATTCAGTGGCAGGATCTGGGAACCCATGTGAATAAGGTGATTTTTTTTATGACTGTTTGCAGACCTGGATCAAATCTGATTTACTGCAGATAAGACATATCATTTTATGTATCACAGGTTTTATTATTTCAGTTCAGAGATCTCAGCATAATCCCGAGCCATTCTTTTTGGGAATTACAGCAACAAATATAGAAGGCACATGCAGAAAGTTGGGACCCTATTGTTCTGTGCTGTAAGTCTATGTGGTGTTGCCTACATCTGTCATTAGCTTGAATGCAGCAGACAGGAATTTCTGGACACAGTAGGATACATTTTGTGATTCCTCTCCATCATATGTGGCAAAGATTACAGAGACTGTTCCTCACATTTGGCAAAAAAACACAGACATGTATTTACTTTTATTAATGAGTTTTTTTCTCTCTTCATGCACCTTTTGAAATACAGAAGTAAAATAAACCTGTACTAAAATTCCTGATTTTAACAAACAGGACTAGGCTAGACTAGACTAGACTAGACTAGACTAGACTGGACTAGACTGGACTAGACTAGACTAGACTAGACTAGACTAGACGAATAGGATAGGATAGGATAGGATAGGATAGGATAGGATAGGATAGGATAGGATAGGATAGGATAGGATAGGATAGGATAGGATAGGATAGGATA